GTGTTACTGTGTGTTAGTGTTACAGTGTGTTAGTGTTACAGTGTGTTACAGTGTGTTACAGTGTTACTGTGTGTTAGTGTTACAGTGTGTTACAGTGTGTTAGTGTTACAGTGTGTTACAGTGTGTTACAGTGTTACTGTGTGTTAGTGTTACAGTGTGTTACAGTGTTACAGTGTGTTACAGTGTTACTGTGTGTTACAGTGTTACTGTGTGTTACAGTGTTACTGTGTGTTACAGTGTTACAGTGTGTTACAGTGTTACTGTGTGTTACAGTGTTACTGTGTGTTACAGTGTTACTGTGTGTTAGTGTTACAGTGTGTTAGTGTTACAGTGTGTTACAGTGTTGCATTGTGGGGCAGTGAAGGTAAAATGAATGCAGGGACAGAACAATGAGTCTGTCAGTATCTCGGGGGTTCAGCTCGCCGTTATTGTCTGCTGTTAATAAAGTGCTGAGTCAGCTGTGAGCTAGTGCTGAGTCACTGTACCTGCATGTATTTGTCTTTGATTTGCTCACAGGTGGAGATGCAGTTGGAGATGTAGAGGTGGATGAACTCTGGAGGTAAATCCACCGCTGTGGTCAACCTGAGGACGGACACAATGTCTGTTAATAACCACACACACACACACACACACACACACACACACACACACACACACACACACACACACACACACACACACACACACACACACACACACACACACAGTTCTCACCTGTTGACGACCTCCATGGAGTGCAGGGACATGTCCATGTTGACGAGCACGGAGAAGTACTCTGTGATCTGGCTGCTCTGCATCAGCTTCAGCAGCATCTCGATGGCCACCAGGGGGTTGTTCTCCACCAGGTCAGGAAGCTTCGCCGGGGACAGACCGATGTGGTACACCAGCTTCAGGTCCTTCTCCAGCTCGGCCAGCAGCTACAGGAGAGAGAGACAGACAGTCAGTGAGTGTGTCTGTGTCCAACTCTTCCTCACAGGTTAGTTAATGACAGACAGTCAGTGAGTGTGTCTGTGTCCAACTCTTCCTCACAGGTTAGTTAATGACAGACAGTCAGTGAGTGTGTGTGTGTCCAACTCTTCCTCACAGGTTAGTTAATGACAGACAGTCAGTGAGTGTGTCTGTGTCCAACTCTTCCTCACAGGTTAGTTAATGACAGACAGTCAGTGAGTGTGTCTGTGTCCAACTCTTCCTCACAGGTTAGTTAATGACAGACAGTCAGTGAGTGTGTCTGTGTCCAACTCTTCCTCACAGGTTAGTTAATGACAGACAGTCAGTGAGTGTGTCTGTGTCCAACTCTTCCTCACAGGTTAGTTAATGACAGACAGTCAGTGAGTGTGTCTGTGTCCAACTCTTCCTCACAGGTTAGTTAATGACAGACAGTCAGTGAGTGTGTCTGTGTCCAACTCTTCCTCACAGGTTAGTTAATGATGTTACTGAGTCAATGTGAGCAGATTGTGTCTGTAGACTGAAGAGAATCAGAGTCTCACTGATGGTGGAAATAAAGGTTTTACTTCCTTAAAACAGCCGTTTTTTGAATGGAGTTTGGTGTGACAGTGTGATGGTGATATTGGGTTTGTGAGCAGTTTGAAGTGTTCAGTAGGAACCAATGAGATTGGAGCAGAGAGCCACAGACAGGAAGTGGGCGGACACTGACAGACGGACAGACCTGGGACTGCTGCTGGGCCGACAGCGGGCTCTTGAAGGCTTTGGACATGATGCGTTTGATCTCCACCCCGGTGCTGTTCTTCACGCACATGGAGCGATCCCATTGGACGCTGTGATCCGGCTCCGTGGGGTTCAGCCACGCCAGCTCGTCCTCGCACACGTGGAGCGGAGGCGGCGGGCGGATGAACTCGGGCCGGAAGTGACCTGAGGACGGAGAGGAGGAGGACGTTACCTTCCTGTTCGCAAGGAGGTTCGTTAATGCCGACAACGTCTCTGTGCTCCACTAACGGACGCCACTAACGGACGCCACTAACGGACGCCACTAACGGACGCCACTAACGGACGCCACTAACGGACGCCACTAACAGCCTGAACAGCTTCCTGTGGAATAAATCAATGATCAATCAGCTGATTACGAGCTGTTGGCTCGTCTTTAAGCTGCAGTGAGTTGGGGCCAATCAGCTGACTGCTGCCCCCTGCTGGTGTGTAGAGGTGAGACCTCCTGCAGCAGGAACCTGTCTGTCTCCCAGCGCCCCCCCCCAGGGCTCAACCAGCAGTAAACACACTCACTCTCCAGAGGGGGGCGGGGCCCGGTGACCAGAGACTCTATGATCTGATTGGCCACGGAGCTGTCGAAGCCCGAGTTGGAGGAGTCTGGGTCGGGGTCGTTGAGGATGCTGGGGAAGCTGGCCTTACTCTGAGTGGGCAGCTCCGACTGTCGCTCTGCACAACAACAAACAAACAAACAAACAAACAACCGTCAGCTCCACTCACACTGTTCACACATTAACTGGTGATTATCGGTGATTATCGGTGATTGATCGCTGCTACCTGCTAGTGCCAGCTGCAGCCCGCTGATGTCGATGGATTGGGGCATGTTGCCGACGTCCATACAGGAAACCTGACGGGGAGTCTTCTTGAACAGATCTCTGGGCGGCGCCAACATCAGCTGGGACAGGAAGAACTTCTCAGGCTGCGTGATGGGGGGCAGGAAGCCTGGAGAGACAGACAGACAGGCACACAGACAGACAGACAGGCACACAGACAGACAGGCACACAGACAGACAGACAGACAGGCAGGCACACAGACAGACAGGCACACAGACAGACAGACAGACAGACAGGCAGACAGACAGGCACACAGACAGACAGGCACACAGACAGACAGGCACACAGACAGGCACACAGACAGACAGGCACACAGACAGACAGACAGACAGACAGGCAGACAGACAGGCAGACAGACAGACAGACAGGCAGACAGACAGGCACACAGACAGACAGACAGGCACACAGACAGACAGACAGGCAGACAGACAGACAGACAGGCACACAGACAGACAGACAGACAGACAGACAGGCACACAGACAGGCACACAGACAGACAGACAGACAGACAGACAGGCACACAGACAGACAGGCACACAGACTGTTAGTTCAGTCCCTAACAGAAGTTCTCTCAGGACACTTCAGACACAGAACTCTTTATAAAGCTGTTAGCTGCTGACCTCTGACCTTAGTGCACAGTGACTGTCACTATCAATGTATTGATCACTAACACTGATCAATGTATTGATCACTAACTCATCAATGTCTCTTTACACCTGTAGGGAGTCCCGCAGGTAACCCGCGTTTACCGTCCCAGCGCTATGAACTGTGGGTAATCCCCTCTGGTAGAAACATTGATAGAAAGTGAGCGGATCGATATGTGTTCTGTACTACAGTGTGCGGGTCCGTGCGGGTCCGTGCGGGTCACCTACCGGACAGCACCCTCTCCTGCTCCTCCCCGGCCGGTGCCGGGTTCAGCAGGTGGGCGAACACCGCGGCGAACGGGTTCGCGGCCAGCGGCTCGGTTCGGTACATCTCCCAGAGCAGGTAGAGCGCGGTGAGCCGCTGCGGGGAGCTGGGCAGCAGGTCCGGCTGCTGCAGGAGCATCACCAGAACCGAACCCACCCGGAAGTGCTCCGCTTTCCCGAAGTAGTGGTGGAAGTGCGCCGACAGGCTCTCGAAGGTGTTCGTGCTCGCCTCCTCCGAGATGATGCTCAGCAGGTTGGACAGCTCCTTCGGGGCCAGGGTCATGGTTCGGCTCGGTTCGGCTCGGTTCGGGTCTCTGGAGCTCGGAACTGTTGTAAACTCGGTATTTCCTCTTAATACAGCGGGAAGGACATTTCTGTGACACCCTGCGGGAAGTTAGTTCACCTGTGCGGGAGAGCACCGCGTTAGCCTAGCCTAGCCTAGCCTAGCCTAGCCTAGCAGCGCTAACTGACAATAACCGGTGAAGTCATGACTCAGACGGAAGAACCGGACCGACGGAACCAACACGGACCGAGTCAGAGAGCGTAACGGACCAACGGAACCAGCGGACTTCAGCCGAGCTCTACCCCTCCGTCCGTTCCGGTGTCGGTTCTGTTAAACGCAGCACCGGAGCGTTAGCCGGTTAAATACTGACTGGGCTCTGGGGGCGCAGTGCATTGTGGGGGGCGTAGTTTCCTTCTCTCACTTCCTAAACTCCTGACCCGGACCCGGTTCTACCGCGGTGGTCCCTCAGTGGACCGGGTTTATGGCAGTACCAAAGAACCACAGACACCGTAAAGACAAACTTTTAGCGGGAAAACGGAGCAGAAAATATCGAACTTGTGTCTTTACCCAGAAGCCCTTGCGATCAATGTTTCTTCTTCTAGGATTCCGGCAGTGTAGACGCTGTTCGGTGTGTGACTGCCCTCCACAGGTCGGATCAGACCGGAACTCTCTCTTACAGAACAACTGTTTGTGTTTCTCACTGTGTCCGAACAGGAAAGCCTCCACTCCAACTCCTGTCAGTCTAACAAAGAAAACCTTTCTCTCTTCTCTTTACCTTCCACATTCCAGGAACACCTGCCCTACTGTTCCAACGATCCCACACTCACACAATCCAGAAACATTTCCTACAGAGAATCATTGAACCCACAATGACCCAACCTCAACCTACAGAGTTTCACTGAGAATCACATAAACATATTCTCCTAACTTTAGGTTGTATAGAACAGAAGTGTCTACCCCTGGCTTCCCTTTGCCATCCTCTCTGCCATTCTTTCAGCCCGCTTTCATTATTTCTCTTAATTCCACTCTCCCCATGGATAAATGAACATCTACTTCTCTTCTTAAGCTTTCCTTTGCAGTGCGGTCCACCTGCTCATTCCCCCTAACCCCAGCGTGCCCCCGAACCCAGCAAAAAGTAACGCTGTCCTTCACAATGTCAGGACGAGCTGTAGATTGTCCTGCTCTTAAGGTTTCCAGTGCAGCTGCAGAATCAGAGCAGACAGTGACTTCTTTAGGTCTGGCTTCCTCAATCCACCATAAAGCCCATAGAACTGCCATTAACTCAGTAGTGAAAACAGAGCTTCCATTAGAAATACGTCGACCAATCTTCAACCCAATCTGCTCCACATACACCCCAAAACCAGCTCTCCCACTAACTGGATCTCTAGATCCATCTGTAAAAACAATTAAAGTACTCTCACTGATTGAATTAAGATGTTCCACTATTCTTGGAGTCACTTTCCTCTTATCTTTTTCTTGAAGAAAAGAAAGCTCAATATTCAATTCAGGCATCACCCAATAGGGCATAGGTAGCCATCTTGTGTGCTCTACATTACCTCCCTGTTCCAAGCCCAGCTTCTTAGCCCACTGGTTTACAGTGACAAAAAAAATATTATATTTATTATCTACTATCTCTTGTAACAGACACCTTGCTGCTTGCCCAGTACTGTAACCCTAACTTAATGCGCCTTAACCATGAGGGCATTTCTCCCATTTCAACGAGCAGGGCAGGGACTGGGGAAGTTCTAAAGGCCCCACAACAAAGCCTCAATGCCTTTGCATGCACCACATCTAACTTATCCAGAACAGTTTTAGAAGCAGATCCATACACAAAACTCCCATAGTCAAGAGCAGATCTGATCAAGGCCTGAAAAATTACCAACATCGTCTCCCTCTCAGCCCCCCACTCACACCCACCCAGACTTCTCATAACATTCAGAACTTTTCCACATTTCATTACAATTTTATCTACATGCACAGCCCAAGTCATACGCTCTTCAAACCATACACCCAAACATTTAAAAACCTTTACCTTCTCCAATAAAGACCCATACATATACAGCCCTATATTAGGTAACTTTCTTTTAAAACCAAATACAACATATTTAGTCTTAGATGCAGACATTGTGAATCCCCATGTGTTCCCCCATTCCTCTATAGACAATAATACTCTTTGAATCTGTTTTAAAACAAACTCTACATTACGCCCTCTTTTCCAGATGGCCCCCTCATCTGCAAATAGAGATAACCCAAATCCTCTCTCTATTTACCAAAGATATCATTAATCATTATATTAAATAAAACTGGACTGATAACACTTCCTTGCTACAGTCTTTGAACAGACACTACCAACCATTACTTGTATTGTTCTTTTCATTAAAAAATCCTTAATCCAATTAAACATTCGTCCCCTTACTCCCAAGTCAAAGATTTTAATCATTAATCCCTCCTTCCACAAAGAATCATACGCCTTCTCAATATCCAGGAATACACTCACTACTATTTCCTTATTGCTAAATGCACTTTTGATATCCTGATCCAAAACTAACACTGATTCCATTGTCGACCTTCCCTTCCTAAAGCCATTCTGGACATCAACAAAGAGTCCTCTAGTTTCTATGAAGCACACTAGTCTGTTGGTTACCATCTTCTCCATTACTTTACAAAGCACTGCTGGGAGCGCTATAGGGCGATATGAACTAGGGTCAGATGGATCTTTGCCTGGCTTCAAAATAGGGACCACAACTGCATGTTTCCATTCCTTGGGCAAATAACCCTCTGCCCACACCGTATTAAACAAAGCTAATATTTCATCAAGTACAATATCATCCAGATGTTTAAAAAACTCATAAGACAACCTATCTCTCCCCGGGGTAGTATTTGCCCCAGACATAATTGCATCCTTCAACTCTTTTATAGTAAAAAACAGATTTATAGGATTATCGTTTTCTAAACTCCTTTCTAACTTCCACTGATTAACTGCCATCAGCTCAGTTCTCTTCCTACACCTCTCAGCCCCCATTCTCTCTGATCTATGTACTGCTTGAAAACTATCAACACACGTCTGCTTTTTCCTTTTTGGAAACTGCTACTGTCTCACCCTTCTGTAACACTGGTATCAATCTTCTTTTATATACCCCTGACATTCTACGTATTGCAGACCCCAAATGCCTTACAGGAGTCTCAGGGCCTAGCGTACCACAAAACGTCCTCCAACTATTCCTCTTTGCATCTTTTCTAATTCTTCTTGCTACTGCCCTTAGCCGCTTGTACTCCATTACATTAACCAACATTGGAAACTTTCTTAATCTTCTGTATGCTCTATTCCTACTCCTTACAGCTTGATCACATTCATTATTCCACCAAGGAACCAGCTTACGAGTCCTAGGTTCCTGCTTCAGAGGAATGGTACTGCAAGCGGCCTCATGTATCATGAAACTAATGGATGTATTCCAACTATCTACAGAACCCTCACTATCAATCTCTCCTACTACAACCTTAGAGACTCACTGTCTAAAGATATAGTTACTCTAGATGGCATTAACTTGGCCTCTAGCACCACTGTCAGGAATCTTGGAGTTATCTTTGATCAGGATTTGTCATTTAACTCCCACATGAAGCAGACCTCTAGGACTGCCTTCTTTCATTTACGTAATATTACAAAAATTAGACACATACTATCACAGACAGATGCAGAAAAACTAATCCATGCATTTGTTACTTCAAGGCTGGATTACTGCAACTCTTTATTATCAGGTTGCCCCAATAAGTCCATTAAAACGCTCCAATTAATTCAGAACGCTGCAGCACGAGTACTGACAGGAACTAGAAAAAGAGATCACATCTCTCCTGTACTAGCTTCTCTGCACTGGCTCCCTGTAAAATGTAGAATAGAATTTAAAATCCTCCTCCTCACCTATAAAGCTCTTCATGGTCAGGCCCCTTCATATCTTAAAGAGCTCATAGTACCCTATTACCCCTCTAGAACACTACGTTCTCTGAATGCTGGGCTACTTGTGGTTCCTATAGTCTCTAAAAGTAGAACAGGAGCCAGAGCCTTCAGTTACCAAGCTCCTCTCCTGTGGAACCAGCTTCCAGTTGTGGTTCGGGAGGCAGACACCCTCACCACATTCAAGAGTAGGCTTAAGACATTCCTCTTTGATAAAGCTTATAGTTAGGGCTGGATCAGGTGAGTCCTGAACCATCCCTTAGTTATGCTGCTATAGGCCTAGACTATCGGGGGATTTCCCATGATGCACTGAGCTCCTCTCTTCCTCTCTCTTTCTGCACTCATTCATGTCCCATTAATGCATGTTACTAACTTCACTTCTTCCCCGGAGTTCTTGTGCTTTCTCGTCTCGCAGGTTCTTATCGATCCTGGTGGAGCCTCCTGCCATGGTCCTGCTAGATTGCCATTGCCAATACTGTTGTTGCTGTGCACCTGTCTGTCTGTCTGTCTATCTGTCTCTCTCTCTCACCCCAACTGGTCGAGACAGACGACCACCCACCCTAACCCTAATGAACCTTATACACACTGACACATGATAATAATGTAATTATTCCACTGACCTGCAGGTGGCGCTAACACACAGACTAAATGAAAATGGCCGCCACCCATCGGTTTGTGACTCTTTCTAGAAATGATGTTTGAGAGACGGCAGACATCTTTACAGCTGATATTGTGTTGTTGTTTGTTTACTACTTTAACTCATGAACTACAGTTCCCATGAGGCTTTGCAGGCGTTCAGTGTGTGAGATGAAATCAGAGACTGACACAGAGAGGCTGTTTAAACATTTACTTTCACTGGTTTCTTACAAAAGAGCGATGTGCTTTCAGTCGGTCACCGTGGAAACAGAAACCTTATCCAGACGTCACGTTGTACCAGGAAGAGCTTCCGTCTGACCTCTGACCTCTGCCCTCAGTAACACCACAGAGGTCACATGTTCTGTTATAAGGAGTCAGAGGTTGAAGCTGTTCCTGGTGAAATCAGCCTGAGAGAAACCGTCTGTGTCGCTCTGTTTAAAGGGAATCTGCAGGCGGGACAAAAACCAGAGCACGCCAAAACCTCCGGGAGCCAGAGGACCGAGGAGCGAGCCAATCAGAGGTTAGTGGGCGGGACTAAGACCTGAACCCACTGTCCCCCTAAAGCAGGGGTGTCAAACTGATCCGTGAGAGGGCCGGTACACCTGACTTGGTTCATTCAATCAACTGAACTGTCTTCACACAGTCATATCAGGTGTCCTCTTGCTTGATTGGAACAGAAACAGCCACCCTTGATTAAAGCGTGGGTGTGAAGACAGTTCAGTTGATTGAATGAACCAAGTCAGGTGTGCTGCTGCCCGGATCAGTTTGACACCGCTGCCCTAAAGCCTCAGTCAGGGTCCAGAATGGTCTCTGATTTATTTACCTTCAACCACGTACAGAACTTTGTTATAAATAAAGTTTATTATGTCATTATATCGTGTTACCTTGACGACCAAATCATTACGTAACGTTGGGATTTCACAGCCAGCACACTTTCAATCAATCAATCAATCAATCAATTATCAATTTACTAATTTTTGTCCAAACAGAATCGCACACCTTGAACAACGCCATGAACTGTGGGTAATTCCCCATGTGCATTATGGGCTGTGAGTGGAGACTGCACACTGAGTTAACATGATGCTAACATTAGCAGGAAACACAGAGTGCAGCTGAGGATGATGGGAGCGTTTGTAGTTCTGTAGTGAATCATAAATCATAAACCTAACTGTCCACCTGAAATAATCAATAAAGTTATTGATTATTATTATAAGTTCTGTTGGAGGAGTTCAGATTACTCTGGTTTCTGTTCAATATCTTAAATTACATCAACAACAAACACTGATCAGGTCCACACACACACACACACACACACACACACACACACACACACACACACACACACACACACACTCACACACTCACACACACACACACACTGAATGAGAGTCCGTTATAGATCAGCATGCAGACACACACACACACACACACTGTAAACAGGTCCAGAGTCTCCACCCGGGTCAGGTCCACTTCACTACACCACTACGGGACACAGGGGACACCTTCAAACAGGATCAATACTACAAACTGAATATAATAATATAATAATGTAATAATGTAATAATATGATAATGTAATAATATGATAATGTAATAATATGATAATGTAATAATGTAATAATATGATAATGTAATAATGTAATAATATGATAATGTAATAATGTAATAATATGATAATGTAATAATGTAATAATATGATAATGTAATAATATGATAATGTAATAATATGATAATGTAATAATGTAATAATATGATAATGTAATAATATGATAATGTAATAATGTAATAATATGATAATGTAATAATGTAATAATATGATAATGTAATAATATGATAATGTAATAATGTAATAATATGATAATGTAATAATGTAATAATATGATAATGTAATAATGTAATAATGTAATAATATAATAATATGATAATGTAATAATATAATAATGTAATAATATAATAATGTAATAATGTAATAACATGATAATGTAATAATATAATAATGTAATAATGTAATAATATGATAATGTAATAATATAATAATGTAATAATATGATAATGTAATAATGTAATAATATGATAATGTAATAATGTAATAATATGATAATGTAATAATGTAATAATATGATAATGTAATAATATGATAATGTAATAATGTAATAATGTAATAATATGATAATATGATAATGTAATAATATGATAATGTAATAATGTAATAATATGATAATGTAATAATGTAATAATATGATAATGTAATAATGTAATAATATGATAATGTAATAATGTAATAATGTAATAATATGATAATGTAATAATGTAATAATGTAATAATATGATAATGTAATAATGTAATAATGTAATAATATGATAATGTAATAATATGATAATGTAATAATGTAATAATATGATAATGTAATAATGTAATAATATGATAATGTAATAATGTAATAATATGATAATGTAATAATGTAATAATGTAATAATATGATAATGTAATAATGTAATAATGTAATAATATGATAATGTAATAATGTAATAATATGATAATGTAATAATGTAATAATATAATATGTGAACTTCTGTTCAGAGTTTAGCCTGTTAGCATGCTAACATTAGCAGTGCAGCTGGGGCTGATGGGAATGTCTGTGGACACATTGGTCAGCTGATGATGGCGCTAGAGGATCAATAAAGTTATTGCAATACACCCTTCATAACTCCCGCCCCTTTTTACTCTGTGCTCCAATCCCAGTTGAGCAAGCCAACTTCCTCCTATCTTGTACTTGAATATGCTACATGCTAAGCTAATCTATTTTGGAAAGACAACCACATTTTAAAGATTAGTTAGCTAATGTTAGCAAGAGCTTGCTCAACTGTGATTGGAGCACAGAGCAACAAGGGGCGGGGCTTAGGACAAGTTAATTAGTGGTCAATAGAGGTTATCTTTAATATAACAGCTGCTAGTGGTTCCTATTGGCTCATGTAATGATCAATAATATTAAAGTAGAACAATAAAACCCTGAACTTTAAATGTCTTTAAGGAAACTGATGATTTATGGCACAGCAGGACGTCAGAGTCATTATTGTAGTTCCTTCTATTGCAGTTGGATTGGTGTAAGGACTCCACCTCCCAGAGTTCTCGTCTGCTGTTAGACAGAAGATGAAGATAAGGCTCGTGACAGAGGACGAAGGTTGAGGGTGTTTAAGGCAAAGGTCAGAGGGCGAGGAGGTGAGGGAGAGTTGGGTAAAAACACAAATCTGATCTGAAGTTGTAGTTCGTAGCCGCAACGCTGCGGCGGTCGGTTCAGCAGAACGAGCTGCAGCACGACGAGAGGATTCAGAGTTAGAGGGTCTGTCTCTGTCTGTGGTCTGTTTCTGTCTCCGGTCTGTCTCTGGTCTGTCTCTGTCTGTGGTCTGTTTCTGTCTCCGGTCTGTCTCTGGTCTGTCTCTGGTCTGTTTCTGTTTCTGGTCTGTCTCTGGTCTGTTTCTGTCTCCGGTCTGTCTCTGGTCTGTTTCTGTCTCCGGTCTGTCTCTGGTCTGTCTCTGTCTGTGGTCTGTTTCTGTCTCCGGTCTGTCTCTGGTCTGTCTCTGTCTGTGGTCTGTTTCTGTCTCCGGTCTGTCTCTGGTCTGTCTCTGTCTGTGGTCTGTTTCTGTCTCCGGTCTGTCTCTGTCTCTGGTCTGTTTCTGTCGCCGGTCTGTTTCTGTCTCCGGTCTGTCTGTCTGTGGTCTGTCTCTGGTCTGTTTCTGGTCTGTCTCTGGTCTGTTTCTGTCGCCGGTCTGTTTCTGTCTCCGGTCTGTCTCTGTCTGTGGTCTGTTTCTGGTCTGTTTCTGGTCTGTCTCTGTCTGTGGTCTGTTTCTGTCTCTGGTCTGTCTCTGGTCTGTTTCTGTCTCTGGTCTGTCTCTAGTCTGTTTCTGGTCTGTTTCTGTCTCTGGTCTGTCTCTAGTCTGTTTCTGGTCTGTCTCTGGTCTGTTTCTGGTCTGTTTCTGTCTCTGGTCTGTCTCTGGTCTGTTTCTGGTCTGTCTCTGGTCTGTTTCTGTCTCTGGTCTGTTTCTGGTCTGTTTCTGTCTCTGGTCTGTTTCTGTCTCTGGTCTGTTTCTGGTCTGTCTCTGTCTCTGGTCTGTCTCTGGTCTGTTTCTGTCTCTGGTCTGTTTCTGGTCTGTTTCTGTCTCTGGTCTGTTTC